CCTTGGCCTTCCAAAGTGCTGGGATTAAAGGCATGAGCCACCACACCCAGCCTGGGCATCTTGTTTTTCACTGAGCATCTGCTGCATGGAGGGCACCATTGTCTACATTAAGGCAATCAAAACCCGGCTGTGTTGAAACAACTATGTAAAAACAGATGGTTTGGCTAAATTCATCTTTCTTTCCTTCTCCTTGAGTAGCACCTAGATGAGTTCTTTTTATTATATGGGATTTGGGTAGAGTATATTCCTGGCATTTCCGCCAGCTTTCTTTGGCTCTCTGTGGAAATAACCTGTGACTGTGTCCTTAATGGGCCTGGGACAGGGGCAAGACCGCACTGTTCACCCCAGGACAGACCATCCAATCTATCCTATTAGGTTTATGTGGCTGGGGCCCTCTGTTAGACTCTAGGGGTCCAAGAAAGGCGTGAGAGGAGACAGAACTATAGAACCATGGGTGGATTAGCCATGGAGGAAATGATAACTTTGTCCTTTGGAAACCAGGTTGTTTTATGTTTCTGTCATTTGCTTAGTATATATGTATAGATCTATATGTTGTGTGTAAAATTTGCTAATAGATAATATAAAAGGTATTTTTGGTGTGTTACAGGAATATGTCTACAAGTTTTCAAAAAATGGAGACTAAGGCTTTACTCATTATTCAAAGGCCAATAGGAAGGAATTGCCTTTCTAACCAGAATGAGAACCCCTCAAAGGCTTGTCTCTTTAGATCTGAAGTTCTTCTCATTCTTTTGGGTGGCCTGGGATAAGCTATTCCAGGGTTTTAGTCATGCCTAATGCCCAATAGTTGGTGTTTGCATTAAGCATTTTATGTCAGTAGGTGAAATAATACTGTTCAAAGACTGGATCCCAGCTTTGGAAAGATCTAATCTATCTCGTGGAGAAAAACTGGGCAGGATAGGCCTGGAGAGGCCACTTACCAAGGCAGCGGACTTCAGAGCCACTCCAGAGCCCATTGGCCATGCACTCACGCACCCTGGAGCCCACCAGCGTGTATCCGGAATTGCAGGAGAAGATGGCTGTTGCCCCGTAGACAGACAGTGTTCCGATGCGGTGGCCATTGGGGGGAACCGGGAGCTCTCCACAGGAGATGACTAAAAGGATCACAAGATGCTCAGTAAGCCAGCCCCAAGAGGAGGGACATGGCTACTTCTGCTTAGCAAAAACCGTGACAAAAATAAGACCTGTTCAACCTTACTCTGCTGGAATTTCTGACCAGAATATGGGTTGTGATGCTGACTTGTGTAATGTGGCACCTCAACTGGAGGTGTCTCCAGAAGCCCCCAAAGGTTGTTTAAAATACCTGGCTCCACTGCAGGTGCCTGACTCACCAGCTTTGGAGACAGGGCCCTGGCCTGTGTATTTTTTTAATCCTCCTCAGGTGGCTGAGATTAGGTTAGGAAGAGATGGCGATTCTGTGGTATGTTCCTTAGTGCCCTGGGCAGACATTGCTAACCAATTTCCTTGCCCTTCTTTTCTGAGCCCAGCAGCAGCCTCACACTCTTTGTCAACAGAGCACTGCTGAGAGCCTCTGGCTGAGGTATGAGGTGAGGCCTAATTGCCAAGGTTGCACTGAAATGTGAGTGGCTGCATTGTAGTGAGGCTGTCAAACGTTTGGGACTACTCTGCCACACATGTGGTTACATCCCACTGTGCGGTCTGCACCACAGCGTGTAAAGACAACAGTGTCTTGAATCACTGACATTGGCTTTTTTTGTTTTTTTTTGAGATGGAGTCTTGTACTGTAGTCCAGGCAGTGGCACAGTCTCGGCTCCCTGCAACCTCTGCCTCCTAGGTTCAAACAATTCTTTTGCCTCAGCCTCCCAAGTAGCTGGGATTACAGGTGGGCACCACCATGCTGGCTAATTTTTTTTTATTTTTTATTTTTTTTTAGTAGAGACAGGATTTCACCATGCCAGTCAGGCTGGTCTCAAACTCCTGACCTCAAGTGATCCACCCACTTCAGCCTCTCAAATGCTGGGATCTATGCCCAACCTGGATCACAGGCATTGGAAGATACCATTCCTCCTCCTTCCCAGTCTCAAACTCCCACTTCTCACTGACCACTTCCTTCTACCTCTTTATAATCACTTGCTTCCTCTATGACATCCGCACTGGTCACATAAATATTATGAGCATGTCCCTGTTGTAGTGCATGCTGTGGTGAGCCACTCAGAGCCCCTTTTAGGACTGAGGGACTTATTTCCCCAGCTGCTGGAAAACAACCCTTGGCTGGCAGCCCTTTTCAGATTGCTGTGGTTGAAGAGTCCACCCACCTAGGAAGGTCATGTCCCTTTCCTAGGCCAGCCTGCATCCAGTGGCTGGTCAGTGTGGCAGTATAACAGTTCCCTTGCTCCAACTTGTGACAATTCTGAGGGGTCATCCCAGCTGCAGAGCTCCCTGGAGGGTGAGCTGAGGCTTTCACGGATACTGCATCAGAGCTCAATTCTCCTTCTGCCCAGTCCTGCTTCCTTCCCTCCTTTCTTTCCCCTTCTGTAGGTGGTGTTCTCAAGAACACCCTCTAATAAGCCTGTCTCAGAGTGTCTTCCCATAGATTCTGACCTTTGAAACTGTATTAAAAAACCGAAGAAAAACAACTGACAATGGAGAAGGCAGGCAGGTTTAGGTGACCAGTCCCCTGTGCTACCCTCATTCCTCCTATATACACTCCCATTTGAGGTCTTATCACACCACATTATCATTGCTTCTTTATGTGTCTGCCTCTCTGGTAGAGTATAAAGTCCATGTGGGCAGAAACCAAAACCTTTTATCTTCATACCTCTACAGTGTCTGGCATATAGTAAGAGCCTAATGCATGTTAAAGAAATGAATTAGTGGATGCTCATCTGGAGAAAGGCAGCTTTTGATAAGATGAGAAGATGCTAAGAAATACTTCCATAAAGGAGTAAAGGAGTAAGCATTTTCCCAGCTCCTGATTCTACTAGATGAGAGTCTAAAAAGCAGTACACTGCAATCCCTGGTGATACCCTCTTTTCCCCCACCCCAGTTCACCCCATGCATGAGACAGCTTAGGTAGGAGGGACTCTGCCAAACTTGCCCACCCTCCCTTCCTGGGCTTACTTCGGCAGGTGGGCGTAGAGTCCCCGAGACTCCATTTGCCATTGGCCTGACAGCGGATGACCCTTTGGCCAGTATAGTAGTAGCCAGGGTCACAGATGAGCATCAGCTGGGCCTGGAACTGATACTGTGTCTCAAAGATAAGCCTCCATCGGCCATGCTCCACGCTGATGCTACTGACATCAGGACAGGTCACAGCTGGGGGAAATGAGGAACACAGAGGAGGATTAATTACTTGATTAATTGTGGAAGACCTTGCAAGACCCCAGATCAAGGGACTTGGAGACCTTAATGCAATAATGAAGAATCCAGGAATCTTCAGTTCTCAGGCAGGTTTGGGAAATGAACAGAGTGGGTTGAGTGGGGGATGTGGCTAACTGGGAAGTACAGTTCTGCCAAAAAATTAAAAATTAAAAAACAGAAATAGTACTCAGTCACGGTTGATTATTGAATGTTCGAGTTACATTTGGTTAGATTTTCATTTTTCAAGAGAAGACAGAAATCTGGATTTTAATGAAAATTTCTTGATTTTAAAAGATCGTGGAGTAATTCAAAATCTGTTATAAAGCACTGTGTAGGCCAGAAAGCCAAACCAAACAAAAACCTCTGTCTTTGGACCAGACATAGCTGAGGAGGTTACCATTTTGTGATCTGGCCTAAAAGTTGTTGTTTTAGAGCTTTGGAATCAAGGGACACTCATGCAAACTTTCTGACAGGTTTTCCATCTAAAAGGGAGTGGACCAGGCCATTCCTAAGTTCCATGGTGGTTTGTGGAAACATCTTAGGGCACAATGGTCATCAACGCTGAGAGCAGTTTCAGCAACTGCCTCCTCTTCTGAAATCCCCCAGCCTCCATGTCCATGTTTTTTTTTTTTTTTTCTTTTTCCTCATTATTGTCCTTTTAGCTTGCTCCTTGTAGGAATCTTTCCAGCTGCCCATCTAGCCCTTCCTTACACCCGCCTCCATTGCCCAAGGACTCACGGATACACTGTGGGGGGACATTGTGGTTGCTCCATAGGCCTGTGTCCAGACACTCTGCAGCGGCCTCAGCGCCTGCCTGGAGGTGGTAGCCTTCACTGCAGCTGTACACGGCTTTGGTTCCCACTGTGTACTCCTTGCCAAACACCAGTCCATTCTTGGGGGCCTCAGGAAGCCCACAGGAAAGAGCTAGCAAAAGGAAAACAATGTCATGAGCATTTCTGGTTTAAGATGGTATTCTAAGAAACTATTTTTATCCTTCCTCCCCTCTCAAGGTCCCAATAAAACTGTAGTAAAAACTAATAAAAAGGTAAAGTCTCATAATAAAAAAGAAAATGGGAGGATCATCATCAGAGGAGTGGTTTTTTTTTTGTTGTTGTTGTTGTTTTGTTCATTTGTTTGGAAGAAAGGAATAAAGATAGAAGTGCAAAGAAGCTGTAGCTCAAAATACATGGGAGGGAGCCTCAGGGTGAAACCAGTTCTCTGCCATCTGTTCCCACAAACATGGTGTAGAGACATTCAAGTATTTACTCTCCAAACAAAAGAGAGAATTTTCTTTTCCACTGAAGGGGAACTCTCTTAGAATGAATTAGGGCTGCTATGGTGGGAGTTGGCATCCCCGAGGAAAGCTCTTTTAATTATAGGATTTATGGTCTTTTGGCCTAAAGGCTGTCCCATTGCCTACTCAGGTCTGCCACATACTCAACTCAACTTCTCATTGATAGGAGAGACTTAGTGGACCAAGATATCTGTATATAAAAACAACAAAGGTAATCCACATCTCATATCTGAAAAAATCAACCTGGCCCTTACTTTTAAAATACAATCAAGGATCATATATATGAAGAAAATCAGCAGTGTGAACAAGACAAACCAAGATAAGGTTTAAAATAAACGTCCCCTTAGGAAACAGAGTTAATTCAGGAAACGGAAGATATATAATCTTTAAACTTTTGATCAGTAGTATCCTGATAAAGTCAAGGTGACATGTGGTACTCATAAAATAAAATCAGTGTGCTCTGAAGGAAAAAACAAAACAAAACAAAACAAAAAACAAGGAAAAGTTCTTTGAAATGAAAAATGTGATTGCCCAAATAAGCATTAAAGGATTGGAGATTAAAAGTAAATTTCTCAGAATATTTTTAAAAAAGAGACCAAAAATGAGATAAAAGGACTGAAAACACAGAAGATCAATCCTCAATATAGGAGGTCCAGCATCCAACTGTTCAGAGCTCCAAAAAGAGAGATCACAAAAAGTGGAAGGGACGGAATTATCATAGATGAAAATTTCTCAGAGCTGAAGAGAGACACAAGTCTTCAGATGGAAAGGGAGCCAAAGGAATGCAAAAAGAATCACTCATAGATTCACCATCATGGAATTTTGTATATCTAAGAAGTCCAGAGACACACAGGCATTCCTCCAAGTTCCTAGAAAGAGGGGAAAAAAAGACATAACTGTGAAGGAATGAGAATCAAACTGGCATAAGACTTCCCATCAACAACACTGAGTGTTCAAAGATAATGGAACAAAGCTTTAAACTTCTGAAGAAAATGATTTGTAAACTAGAATTTTACCTAGTCAACTGACCAAGCATGTGTGAAGGCAAAAAGATAGACACTTTCAGACGTGTAAAGTCTCAGAAAGTGTACCCCTCATGAACCCTTTCTTAAGAATTTACTTAAGGATATGTATACCCCATGAAAAAGAGGGTGAAAACCAAGAAAGGACAAGATATGGGATATAAAAAATGACAGAACTAACTCACGAATACAAAGAAAAGGAATCTCAAAGGGACAACTCAGGGGAGAAATGTCTGCAGCAACATGGCCAGGGTTATTATTTTATAAGGAGTAGGGTCGACATTATGTTTATAGGAGGAATAGGAATTACTTAGGCAAGAGTAGACTGTTTGGTCTTTGAAAGAAAGTAATACTTATAAATCATCCTTGCCCTTTGATAGCTCAGGGGGTATTACAGATGGAAAGATTGATCTACCAAAGTACCCACTACTGCCTCCATCCACTATCCCCTCTGACAACTAGTCTAGAGCTCAGAACTTTTTTGTTCAGAGCCAGAATGAGCTTGGGCAGAGTCCCATTGAGATCGCCTAACAAGATGCTTGATGCTATAAGAATTTCCAGAACCAATAGGAGGCATCAGGCTGGGGCTCCATTATGAATGGGGGAGGGTAGACTGTTCAGAGGGAGAGAAGTTGGAATGCCAAGATGGAAGAAGGGTCTAGGCGTGGGACTCTCCAGAAGAGGAGGATCAGGAACACAGAAGGAATGAGAAATGAGAGAGTGTTTAAACATGACACTCTTAATGACTAAACAGAAAGGCTGCGAGCTCCTTCAGTGGAACTAGGTTAGCCAAGCTGTCATATCAGATCAACTACCTGCCCAGCTTCCTTGAATCCTTTGGGAAGAAATACTTGGATCTCCACTGGTGTCTTGTATGGAGAGTCAACCCAGGGAGGGCAGTGAAGGAAGTGGGCAGCAGCCACTTCTCACGGTCCCTGGTTTGGCCTTGCTCTTGTAGATAACTAAGGGGACAGAAGATAATACTCCAGCCTGAGATACTAAAAGCCTGTGTCTCATGATCTCCATGCCAAAATGCAGTCCCCCAAACCCGGTGGTAAGAGGGACATTTCCTGTGAGTAGGAGGGGAGGGGATATAATCACAAAGTATTTGAGGCTTGTGGTGGAATGAGATCTCTGAGGGAGAGAGACACGGAGTGAGAGAATGGGCTGGAGAAGGAGAGAGAAGGCATTAGGAGGCATAGAGTTTCTAAAGGAGGAGTGGAAAAAATCATGGGTTGGAAGCAGCAGTAGAGAAGTGGAAGAATGCCAGGCCCTTCCTGGCGCAGAATTCTGAGGGAAGTAGGAGGTGGGTGGAGGCGGATTAACACTCCACTTGAAAGGGCCACAGTATACGTGCTCTCAGAGGACAGCCATGGTCTCCATGGAGGGAGGAAGTGAAGACAGCCAGCTGGGTAGGGACAGAGCATGTATGCTTGCTGGCCATGGAACTAGGATTCCAGAGAACGCAGTGGGAGGCTCAGAGGAAGGGCGTCAGTGGGAGGCACGGGGTGGAGTCAGGAGAAGACATGCACAGTAGTATGGGGATGGGTCAGCTGAAGCCTGGGGGAGGCCTAATTTTGGGTGGTGATGTAAGGTAACAGAAATGAGAGACTTGGTAGGTTCCAACTGGTGCTCTGGAAAAAAGACTTGTCCGTGTTAATGCAGTCAGAGATGCAGAGACCAAAGCCAAATGCCATTTGCCATTTGTGGACAGCCAGTTCACTGTGACCTTTGCTTAGGAGTAGATTATTAATAGCACATTGTTTTTGTTATTTGAGGAAACACAGGCACAGGCGAGAAGGTTGTGAGGATTAGAGATGAGAGATGTCATTAAAAAGTACTTCACCACTACTGGGAACCAAAGGAAAAATCAAGTAGCAATGCGATTTCCTGTTTTCATCTATGTAGTTGGCAATGTTTTCTTCTTTTTTTAAATGCAGTGCATAACATTGAGACCGTGGGAGAAAAGACAGCTCTTACATGCTGCTATACATGAGGACAAATTTTCAGAAAACAAATTTTCTGCTGCGATACAGCAGTCAGTATCGACAATTGCATACACAATGATGCAACAATCTCATTTCTGGGAATTTGCTTTAAGGAAATATGTAGTATTCATAAAGATGGAATTCTAAGTTTATAGTCACAAAGAATATAGAAATCCAAATGACCAACAACAGAATGATACTTAAATGAATGACAGTTTTCTCATAATGCTGTGCAACTATTGAAAATAATGATGAGGAAGTACAATGTTAACAATAGAGGCCAGGCACGGTGGCTCACGCCTGTAATCACCGCACTCTGGGAGGCTGAGGCGGGTGGATCACCTGAGGTCAGGAGTTTGAGACCAGCCTGATCAACATAGTGAAACCCTGTCTCTACTAAAAATACAAAAATTAGCCAGGTATGGTGGCGGATGCTTGTAATCCCAGCTACTCGGGAGGCTGAAACAGGAGAATTGCTTGAACATGGGAGGCAGAGACTGCAGTGAGCTGAGATCATGCCACTGGACTCCAGCTTGGGCGACAGAGCGAGATTCCATCTCAAAAAGTAGTATATAGTTAAATATACTTCCTCACCATGATTTTCAATGGTTGCACAGCATTATGGGACACAAAATCTGTAAGAGCTTTGTACATGGATGATCCTATTTTTATAATCAATACATAAAAGACAAAAGGAAATGCGCTGAAATGTTAACAGTGGTGATCTCAGGTTTATCATTCATTTTCACTTTTTTCTTTTGCATTATCTACCGTTTTTTTTTCTTCTTCAGATTTTTAGTTTAAATGTATATTACTTTAAAGGAAAAAACTCATAAATCATAAAAGGTAATGCATGCAAACTGACTGACACATTTCAAGTGTTTGATCAACCACTTGCTCTAGGAGCCCGAGTCCAAGCATCCCCTCTGCTGGGAGCCCTCCCCAGCTGGCCAGGAGAAAGCAGATCCTCTGGGCTCCCACAACACTGATTATGCTCCTGACACAACACTTCCTTCCTCTGCCACTTTGCATTGATGTGCTCACATACGCATCTCCCCCATGGATCTCAAAACACTGAGATTGCTGTGCACTACAGATCTTCAGTAAATGCTTGTGGAAAGAATGAAATAATTATCAAAGAGGAAACCCACATTTGGAAATGACTAGTCCTGGGACAAACCCAAGATGTGAGTTGGATCTGAGCTACCTTGTGACCCGCTTTCCACCTGCTTCTCACCTTGACAGAGAGGGATGGCTTCGCTCCACAGGTGGTAGCCCTGGGGGTGCCGGGTACAGATGGCCATGCTGTGTCCCACCAGGCGGTAGCCGGCGTTGCAGCCAAAGTGGATGGAGCCCCCTGGCTGGGTGCTCGTCTGGCCCAGGATGAAGCCATGGAGTGGAGCCCTGGGCAGGCTGCAGTAAGGGGCTGAACAACAAGATGAGGTTCAGGGAACTGGTACCAGCAGGAAGACAGACATCGTCTTTCATGCAGGCCCCCTTTCCCTTTCTTCTTCCCCATCCCCTTGTCTTTGCCACTGCCACATCCTCTGCTACTGAGGAAAGTCTGAATGGTGGATATTGAAAAACACCCAGTCAGGTTGGTAAAGCCGAAACAAAATTAAAAAAAGAGAACAAAACAAAAAAACAGCTTCATGAAGCACTGGGTCCCTTTTGCAGTCCAAAGGTAGATCTGGTTGTATGGCTAAGTTCAGGCTCTCAAATCCCTTCAGCTTCCAAACAGACTTAGAAAGTAGAACCCAGTGGGGTTGGTTCCAGAAAGCTGCGACTGCAGGGGTGTGGACTTTGACCTTAGTCAGGCCTGGGCTCCAGTCCCATTTCTGGTCTGACCAGTTTCTGTAACGTGGGACAAATCACTTCTGCTCTAATTTCCTCACCTGTTAATTGGGACTGGTAATACCTACCTCACAGACTTTTGGTCAGTTTAAACTGTAAATATAGACTGTGTACATAAAGCCCCCAGCACAGCATGGGGCACTCACTGTTCAATGCTCAATAAATGGTCATTGTCCTTCTTCGTGTTGTGTGGGGGGATTGGGTTGGGCGGGCCTTTTGGCACCCGGGGCCCCCCTTTTCCTTCCGTTGTTCTTTTCCCTCCACATAGGACTTCAACTTGTTTCATTCATTTATTCAACAAATAGATATCAAGTATCTATTATCTTCCAGGTGTTGGTCTAAGTGCTTGCAATACAACAATGAAGAAAACAGACCAAAATCCCAGCCTGGGCCGGGCGCAGTGGCTCACGCAGTAATCCTTGGCCTTGGGAGGCCAAGGCCAGTGGATCACTTGAGGCCAGGAGTTCAAGACCAACCTGGCCAAAATGGTGAAACCTCGTCTCTAATAACAATACAAAATTGGCCAGGAGTGGTGGTGCATGCCTGTAGTCCCAGCAACTCGGGAGGCTGAGGCAGGAGAATCGCTTGAACCCAGGAGGTGGAGGCTGCAGGGAGACGAGCTCATGCCACTGCATTCCAGCCTGGGTGACAGAGTGAGACTCTGTCTCAAAAAACAAACAAACAAACATAAAAGCAAAACAAAAAATCCCAGCCTGAAAGGACTCACATTATAAAGCCTGTCAGGGATCCTCAGGGGGAGTTCTGTGAGGCCATGAAAGAGTGATGACCAAAGGAGCAGGCAGATAATTCTCTTTGTTTGCCCTAGGAGTCCCTGGTGGGGTCTTCCAGGCAGAGATGGATAAGGCAGGATTTGGGTATAGGGCCCTTACAGCCTCTTTTTTGGTGATCACATCCCTCTACCAGTTAAATTGGTGTTTTAAATAGCTGCCTTCCAAGCTGGATTTGTTTCCCTATTCCTGCTTTGCCCCCTGTGTCCTATGTGTGCCATATCCACATGGTTACCTCCCTCAGGAACAAGAATCTCGGTTGTAAAATATACTTAGTCACAGTGACAGACGCAGGTGCAAATTACACTCGTCTACTCTATCTGAATTATTAAGTACTAATTGTTGCACCATGTAATTAATTCACTTTCTTCGTGGCATATGTATTGTAATTACAACTGACTCATTATCCCCAAACATGTTAGTCTTTAGAACATCAAGGAAAGGGTAACTCCTTAATAGCGTTCAGTTCCTAATTAGCAACCAGTAGAGTGAAATGCTACCAAACTGCTGTATTTCCTGTTTGAGTGAGCAGTTGCTAGGAACTCTGCCTGAGTCACCCCTAAGAGGCACCTTAAAGTGTCTTTTTCAACATGTGGACACTGAGGCCTGAAGTGCCTTGCTTAATAATCTCACAGCTAGTGGGTGAGAGAGCTGGTCTCTGACATTGGGGCACTCACTCAGTCATTGCAGCCTCCCAGACCCTCCCTTCCTCTGTGTGTACCAGGGAAAGGAGAGGTTGGATGGACTTTGCAGAGGATGTAGGCTCTAAGACAGTCAAGACCCACCTCCTCCCAGGAGCCCTCAGCTTCCTCTGGTTGGCTCTTCCCTGAAAGCTACACCCAGGGATTCTTTAAGACTGTTCACCCGCTGAGTATGGGCTGGTCTTGCAAGTAGGAGACCCATGAGAAGAGATGGACTGTGGCAAGTGGGACTTCAGGTACTGAATTTGACATTCCTTCCAACCAAGATTTTTTTTTTTTTAGAGACAGAGTTTCACTGTTGTTGCCCAGGCTGGAGTACAGTAGCATGATCTTGGCTCACTGCAACCTCCACCTCCCAGGTTCAAGCGATTCTCCTGCCTCAGCCTCCCAAGTAGCTGAAATTACAGTTGCACGCCACCACGCCTGGCTAATTTTTGTATTTTTAGTAGAGACAGGGTTTCACCATGTTGGTCAGGCTGGTCTCAAACTCCTGACCTCAGGTGATCCTCCCGTCTTGGCCTCCCAAAGTGCTGAGATTACAGGTGTGAGCCACCGCACCTGGCCCCCAACCAATATTCGTTAGAAATTTGTCCATCATTTGCCTGGAATGTAGGCCAAAGGTAGCCAGGGGAAAGAGTGCCGAAAGGGAACTGGTGCATGATGGAACCCCGCATGGTCTTAAGTAATTCATTTCTGCCTCCAAGCTTGTAGAGCCCAGTCAGCAGTTCACTGAACCCACCTGCCTTCAAAGTGGCCATCAAGCAGCTTGTGAAGTTTTCTTCTAACCACAGACAGTAATTCCCATGATGTGAGATCAGATAAATTCAAATTTCTCCATCTCATTATATTCCCAGGAATATTTTTTTTGGTCCTTATAGATTGTTGCCTGGGTCAGTCTTTGGCCTTTTGATCTGACTCTGTTTATAAGATACGGCTTCCTGAGCAGAAGAAAGGCACCTGGCCTTGAAATATAGCCCATCCTTTGCTGCCTGCTTAACATCTGCCCGTCAGAGATCCATGCCTTAGGGCTTTTTAGTTTTAAGAAACTTTTATTAGCATTTCCTAACTTTCTTAAAGGGACAGGATCACTGTTAGGTACTATCAGATCATATAAAATAGTTAAACTTATCCTGAAGACACAGTCTGGCTGTATGGGAAGAAAAGAGGGAAGAGGTTCAAAGAGGGGAATGGAATAGAAAAATAGAAGGTAGGGGAATGGCAAAGACCACTGAGCTTCAGGTGAGGCAGATTTAGAGGAGGGGAATGGCTGCCCAGTCTCCACAGAGGAGCTTGCAGCTTCGATGAGGAGAGGGCCTGTGGCTTATTTGTGTGTTTTTTTCACTCACCTGAATAGCGAATCTTAAAGCCCTTCCGATTGTAGGCGTGATCAGATGACCAGCGCAGGTACACAGAGTTGCTTGAGCTGGTGACAATCAGGGGAGCTGAGTAATTCCCACTGAGGGCTTTCAGCAGAGGACTCTGTCCTGACGGACCTGGGGTGAGAAGGACGCAGGATTACAGACCATGGGAGTCATCACAGGGAGCCTCCAGGGAAGACCTCAGGGCTCAGAGGGTGGGGTGACTTGTTCAGAGTCAGCAAAATCATTTGTACTTGCACTCCTCTCTCTGCATCCACAGGCATTGCTCAAGGTGCTCTTTTCTCCTGAGCCCAGCTCTAAAGCAGTACTCTAGGAAGTCCCTGCCTACCTATAGGAGCTGGCAGGTAAGAAGAAATTGATTGCATTTTGAGATTTGACCAAGGTCAACTAGCTGGTTAGTGGAAGAACTGGTTTTCAAATTGGGAATTTCTTCCACTTGGCCACCCTACTTCTCTTGTGTGTATTTAAGCTCACGCCTGTAATCCCAGCACTTTGGGAAGCTGAGGCAGGTGGGCCCAGGAATTTGAGACCAGCTTGGGCAACATAGCTTGCTTTAAAAACATAGCTTGCTCCCCATCTCTACTTTAAAAAAATACAAAAATTATCTGGTCATGGTGGTGCGTACCTGTAGTCCCAGCTACTGGGGAGGCTAAGGCATAGAATCATTTGAACCCAGGAGGCGGTGAGCCAAGATCGCACCACTGCGCTCCAGCCTGGGTGACAGAGCAAGACTCAGTTTCAAAACAAAAACAAAAACAAAACAAAACAAAACAAAACAAAAAAGCTCAGTGCCTGCTATATAGAAAAAAATATTTATGGAATGCATACATAGTAATAAAGCTAGAGGAAAATGTCATATCTCGGGGTCATAAGTAACAGAGCTCCCTAATACTGCTTTTGAAAGCTCTTTGAGAAAGACCTCCCTCTTCTTTTGTTCTACCTTAAGTGCCTGAGATTGCATCCTGAGGGGGCTGGTTGAAGGGGCACAGAATATAAAGCTGGATAATCCATGACACAGGATTTATCACTCTGGAAAAGGCCCTGAGTGATGGCTCTACGATGCCACTAAGACAGCCCTTAGAAGCTTGGAAAAAGTAATGGATCATATTAAACAAAGTAGAGTCACCAGAACTGCCATGCAAACTGTGAAGGGAAAAGCTAGGAGAAGTGGCATGCTGGGCTAGGTCTGCTGTGTAAAAGCCGACCATAATTCTCAGGAAGACCTGGCGGACACTCCATTTACGAACGCAATCAGGAGGTGAGGAGCTCCAGCCTTCCTGGAGGGGGTGAGCACCAGCATTGCTGGAAACCTGAGTAACTAATGGCTATCCTCTGTGGGTGAAAACTGATGGGAAGAGACACTGGGCTCCCTAGCAGTAATGGGGATGAGAAGGTCCTAGAATACAGAGACCAGGTGGAATTACTTAACGGTCAGCAGCAACGTTGATGTAATTACTAAAATGGGAAGCAAGGCTGGAATGGCAGCTGGGAGAGCCTGGCCTACGGGATCTACAAAGACGGCTCATAGAATATGATGTTCCTGAGGGCAAAGTAAATAGGAAGCCAAGAAGAGCAGCCAAAACAAGTATGACTAGATGAACAAAATAGATCATGAGTAGATCTATGAGCAGGGTGAGAAAAGCTGCCCCCAGCGGAAAGGTGCAATTCCCTGCCCAGTTTGCAGACTTGAGCCAGGTTTCATTTCCCAAGAGGCTGGGTCCCTGTGAAAAAAGACCCTGCACAATGACAGTAATTGTATATAGCAGTTGTTCCTACAGTTCTTCCCCCCAAACACCTACTACTGTGTACTCAGAAAACAGAATATTATAGACAAGGGAATGTTCAGATATATCAAAGACTTCTGGATACAGGATGTTAGTTGATGCTGATACCTGGGGGTCCAAAGCATTATCACAGCTACTCTGTCAGAGGAGGGGTATATGAAGGTTGTTTTGAGAATAAATGGAGTCCTGGACCAGGTCTGTCTCACAGTACACACCTAATAAAGTAGGAGCCTCAACTGTAGCAGCTGTGTAGGCGCATATCTTTATTAGAACAGATTAACACAGCCTTGGTTACATAGAATGTAGCTATGGATCTGGCCATGTAGTCTTTTTCATACCCTTCAGAAAGGAGGATCAGAAGCAGTTTGCATTCACATGAGGTAGACAACAGTATACATTCATGGTTTCCCCCAGAGCTATGTTATTTCTCCTGCTCTCTGTCATAATAGAGTATAAAGGGATGTGGACCATCTGGACATCTTGCAGAATATAACATATTGGTTCACTCTATTGAGGACATGATATTAATCGGATCTGAGGAGTGAGAAGGGACAATTAGTGCTTTGGCAAGATGCCTTTGCAAGATGCATGTGCTCCAGAGGGTAAGAGATAAATCCTACAAAGTTCTGCTGTGGAATTTTTAGGGTCCAGTGGTCTGAAGCATGCTGAGACATGCCCTCCAAATTAAAGGGCAAATTATTGCACGTTTTCCCTCTTAAAGCCAAAGCAGCAGCAGTTTGGTAGATCTCTGGGTTTTGGAGGAAGCACACTCTTCACTTGGGAATACTGGTATGACGCATTTATCTGCTGACATTAACAGGAACAGCTTTGAATGGGAGCTAGAGTTAAGAAAAGGTTCGGTAACAGGTTCAAGTTGCAGTACAAGCAGCTCTGCTGCTTGGGCCATGCCACCCCTCAGGTCCCACGGCCTTGGGGTTGCTGTGGTTAGGGAAAGACATCCTGTGGAGCTTCTGGCAAGCCCTGATAGGAAAACTGCAGCATAGACTCCTTGGGTTCTGGAGCAAGTCCATGTCTTCTGCAGCAGAGAACTATGCAGCATGTGACCGACTTACCATCAAAAATCTCAAACTCATCATACTGCTTCTCGCTGAGGAAGTACTCCACTGTGAGGGAGATGTTATAGTCGGGCTCCACTCTCACCAGCCAAGAGCAGGTCTGGAACTGGGGATAGCTTCCAGGGTAACTCTGGCTCAGGATCACGCCTGTGGAGTCTGTCAGAAGCTCATTTGTTGGGCAGTGCACTTGGAGAAAGAAAGAGAAACACCAAGTATGTGGGGGTGGAGATGGAACTACGGCCAACACATTTGCTTTTCCCAATACAAAAGACAACCATTAGAAAATCAGCATTTGAGCACATTCAAGTCAGATCCCACATCCATCACTGTGCTGCTCCATGACATGAGGTGGCCTGAGATCCTGTGTCAATATTGCAGTCTTTCTGGGACTTGGGCTTCGCCAGTTGGTTGGAATCACTTCCTAGTTAAGTTGTGGGTTCTACTACCTGGTTTTGAGTAGGGGAGGATGGAACATACATACAGACAGCAGTAATGCTTCCCCAGATCCAAAGGAGATAATCTATAAAATGGGTTTTATTTGAACAAAGATGGTGCTGTATAGGGCAGAGGTAAGTACATGGGATTTTGAGTCAAATACACCTGAATTTATAGCCCATCTCTGCCGCTTACTACTGGTGTGGTCTTGAACAAGTTATCTCCTCTCTGTGTGATGGCTTCTCCATCTCCAACACAGAGATAACACAGAACTTACAGGGCTGTTGTGAGCATTATATAAAACATTATATGCTGGGTGCAGAGGCTCACGCCTACAGTCCCAGGACTTTGGGAGGCTGGGGCGGGTGGATCATGAGGTCAAGAAATCGAGACCATCCTGGCCAACATGGTGAAACCCCATCTCTACTAAAAATACAAAAATTATCTGGGCGTGGTGGTGCGTGCCTATAGTACCAGCTACTCGGGAGGCTGAGGCAGGAGAACTGCTTCCCGGGAGGCGGAGGTTGCAGTGCGCCAAGATTGTGCCACTGCACTCCAGCCTGGCAACAGAGCGAGACTCCATCTCAAAAACAAAAAACAAACAAACAAAAACAAACAAACAAAAAAATATATATAATATGAAATAATATATGTAAAGCATGCAACATAGTGCTGCAATAAATTGTAGAGGGAATGATGATAACTGCATCTTGGACAGAAAGGTCCCAGAACTTGGCTGTGGCCTAAGTAGTAGGATTAATATAGCTAAAGAAAAAAATGTCATTCTAAGGAAGACATTGAGCTTGGAACTTAGAAAAGGAGGAGCTGGAGGAACAGGATTGGTTTTTTTGTCATCACCATGAATGGGTGGGAAGCTGCTGGTTCAGAGAGGCCCTTCTCCAGCACTGAGGAGGTGCTCTGTCCTGGAGCACAGGCAAGCATCACAGCATGAAAGCAATTTCAGGACCATCCACTGCCATTTGCTTGGGTTGCGGACACCAAAGTAAAGTTCTGAGGACTAAATCGGCTTCTTCATTACATTGTTCTTTCAGTACAAAGGTGTGCATTGACAATAGTTGTAAGTATTCCGATCACTGCACACAGAGAAATCAGTATTTTGCAGTAGATGTGCCTTTAGACAGGCTTCCTGGGTATGCTGGATTCTGGGACACTGGTAAAAGGGAGTTTCTGGAACTGCAAGGCCAAAATTTAATCCCTGGATTACAATCTCAGGTAATGCTGTTTTGGGTAGAAGACTTTGCTACGGGCTGTCCACCCATCTCACCTCTGCCTTCAGAGAAGTGAGGCTTGGTAATCAGCACTGGGGCTGGGCTCCTAGACAGAGTCTTGCTGTGGCCCAGAATTTCACAGGACTCATCCAGGCTTCTGCCTGAGTAGCTTTGAAAGGTACTCACTGACTTTTCCCAATAGAGCTTCCTTTTTAATTTTAAGGGGAGAAGGAAAACAAATGTCTTCTAGGAGGAAACTCACTTAGCTTTGACATGCTCCTGATTTCACTAATCTGATGACCAGCACAGGGCACTGAGATGTGGTGATACTTAAGTTCTCTTAGGCCTCGTGGTCCCCTCCTGCCTCTACCGGGTCTGCTATTCCTCACTGACCGTCCATATTGCAGGTTCTTCCTACTCTTGCTTTCCCAGAAGTGAGGGAAAGGCTGACTTGTTTCCCCACAGGCTACTGAATATTTGCAGGTAGCAGTAGTTCTAGAAACAGTAGTTGCACTAGTGATAATATTCACAGCAGACATGGAGCAATTACTGCATGCCAGGCATCATCCTAAACTGGTTTATGTTATTAACCCATTTAATACCCCCATGGCATAAGTACTATCATTATCCTCAGTTTATAGAAGGGAAGACTGAGGGCAGGACAATCAGGTACCTTGCCTTAAGTCAGATGCCTGATGAGTGGAGACTATTTTTTGATCTTAGTTGGGGTGACTAGCTGAAGAGAATTCATTTCTGTCAAGGCATAGTACACTGGAATAAAGACTGCTATGGTCTCTCAGTTGCCTGGTTTGGCACACAGCGCCTTGAGTGCATCCATGCATCAGTAAAGCAGGGATGGTGTGTGAGCCTACCCTTCCCTAAGGGCCCAGGGAGGGACTTCCTCCTTCCAGTACTCAGTATGCAATTCCAAGAAATTTCCAGGAAAGGAAAAAAAAGCAGATGGAAATAGATGTGGCCACTGTGGCCAATTCACAGGTTCAGACATCAGAAGAGGGCAGAGAACCTATCTAGAGTGATCACTCATTCATTCCTCATGCACTCATTCATTCATCAGACAACATTTACCAAGGGAACTTTCATGTTATGGGGCAGTAACTGAGCTAAGAACTGGGAATAGAAAGAGGAACAAAACAAGGGTTTTGTTTAGGAGGAACTTCTAGGCCCCATACAGATGCGGATCCATGCAATTACCTTCACATATTGGGGGTGGGCCTTCAAACTGCAGGTAGGTTCCAAGTTTGCAGGTCAGAATTTCATTCCCCACTAAGGTAAAGCCAGGGAGGCATCTGTAGCGTACGATGTCACCTGTCAAAGAAAGACCAACATGTAGACTCTCTTAAGAAGTCCGGTCAGGGCTGATGGGCACCCATTAGTACCTTGAACCCACTTCCAGGTGAGATAATCAGAGGAGGATCATGTTCTGTTCAGACTTAAATAACTAGCTCGGCTCCCATCAAATGGCCCAGACAACTGCTCCCCTCTCACAGCTCAGCCTTGCCTGAGCCTCGGAATGTCTCATATTTCAGGACATTTTATACTGTCTTGAATGGATTTATTTCTCAAAAAGATGCTGACTTGAATCACAGAAGAAAACTGTTTTCCTGGCTCCCCTTTTGATTTTATTTTGGGTGCAAACTCAGTGGACAGAACCTGCTGGCACAGGGCCTACTGTTTCTGTCTCCATAGACAGGAGCAGGGAGTAATGTCCACTGGCCCAACATCTCCCACCGCCACCTTCCCTTCCTTCCCCAGTCCTGGGCTCGCAGTTCTTGCTGGCTTGGGAGGTGGTACCTATGTTAAATTCTTCATTCTCTGTGACGACTTCGGCATTGGGAAGGATGGTGGGAGGAGGGCATTTGGTGAGTGGATAAGCTGAAAAGATAAAAGCAGGCAAGTCAGGGTAAGATCATCACTCTCCAGGTATGCTGTCATTCATTTGTTCAATTCTTCACTTTCTCATCCCTCATTTATTCACACACAGATATTCATGAGTACTTATCTGCAAACAGGGCAAGTTTAGCCAAGTCTTTTTTGCTTATCTTCTGTCATCCTTATTGAAATCAATCATAACAAAGGAGGGGAGATCTAAGAAGTCAGTGACATCATCACCAGCACTGAAGGGTGGGAGAGGAGCATTTTCTGAGTGCCTCGTGGATATTAGGTGTTTTATAGGCTGCCACTCAAACCCTCACAACATCTGACTGCGCCGTGAGGTGCTCTTACTCTACTCGTGAGCAAGTGAGATTCAGAAAGGTGAAGTAAGTTCCTCAAGGTCACACAGGAATTAGGTGGCACAGGCAGGATTTGAATCCAGGTCTGGCGGCCCCCAAACCCTGTATTCTTCCCACCACTGAGCATCTACATGCTGTACGTGGCTTCTGCGATTACCCACTGAAGTCAGCTAACAAGCTGACCCTTCTGATCTTTGACCAGATACTTCTGGCTTCACAAATTTTCTAGACTGGAATTCATCCCTATGGGCAGAGACTGGATGATGCTAGAGGCAGGATGCTATTTACTGAGGCAAAGTTCAGTGTGGGTTCATAACCTGGCTTTTATTACTGGCACAGAGTCAAGTGCTATACAAGTGTTAGCTGCTCTTGCTGCTGCTGCTATTGTTATTATCGTTACTATTTCCAATCACCCCAATCCGTGCTATATTAAAAAAGTGTTCTTTTTTTTTTTTTTTTTTGAGACAGAGTCTCGCTCTGTCGCCCAGGCTGGAGTGCAGTGGCCGGATCTCGGCTCACTGCAAACTCCGCCTCCTGGGCTCACGCCATTCTCCTGCCTCAGCCTCCCGAGTAGCTGCCCAGCTAGTTTTTTGTATTTTTTTAGTAGAGACGGGGTTTCACTGTGTTAGCCAGGATGGTCTCGATCTCCTGACCTCGTGATCCGCCCATCTTGGCCTCCCAAAGTGCTAGGATTACAGGCTTGAGCCACCGCGCCCAGCCTAAAAAAGTGTTCTTTAATAATACAAATATAATCATTATCATTGAAGAAAATATGAGGTATTCTATGGAACAGTAGGAAGAAATCAAACTCATCCATTGCCCTCTCAGAGATAGTGACTGTTAACCAATTACAGTACGTTCTTGGAGTGTTTATTCTCTGCATATATAAATATTTTTGTTTTATACAACTTGCATTATATGTTATATATTTTGCATTGATCTTTGCATACTTACTATTATATTGCAAGAATTTCCCATATAATTAAATTTCTTCAAAAATGTGATTGAAATAACTTCATAGGATTTAATCATACAGATTTACTAGAATGTATTTAACAGATACTCTGTTAACCATTTAGGTTTCCAAAAGTTTTGCAATTTAAAATAAAGCTGCAATGAAATCTTTTTTTATAAATGCATCTTTTATGGTTTTTTTCTTTTTCTTTTTTGACTAGAAAGGATTCAAGTACATAACCCTTTTGAAAGTACAGATGTCTCCTGCTGAATGTCAGTACTCCTTTCTTGGAAATCAAATGTTCTGTGTAAAGATATTAACTAGGAGTCTATATCCCATCATTTTAAGTGGGAAAAAATTATACTGTGTTGTACTTCAACCCAAAATCCAAAAAGCAATTAAGACAAAATAAAATACCTAAATATATGCAACAAACCATTATGTTAGTAGTTAAATACTTAAAACATCACGATCACCCAAAAACATGGCGTGACAAAACAGTGCCTCTGTGCATTGCATACTGTACCATCAACATCCAGTGCACCGTGAAGTCTTGCAGCTTGAGACATTATAAAACTCTAGGCAGAAAGAAGGTCTAGCTATGAAAGGCTTGGTGGGAATGCATTCAGGCCTGGCGCTAGGTGGTAGAGTACAGTTCACAATGAACAGCATGGAGTGACACCTCAGAGCCAGCAGCCTCTGAGACACACATCCCCGCCATGGAATTGGAGCCCCTTTCCAAAAGTCCGCATGAGATTCTGACATTTTACCAACTGTAGCTGGAATGCAACTTGAGACTTTCCCTGCACATGTATTTATTTAAAATGGTGTATTATATTTTGGGGGATCTAAATGTAAATGTTTTCTGTAGACGCATTTGCTGAAATGTATTGTATTGAGAGATATGTAAGCTCTCTGAAATGTGGGTGCTAAAACTAAGAGGCACTCTTGAGGTAACCAAATGGGTTTACCTTTGATTTAACATAAACCAGGAAGGGCCACATCCGCGCTCGCTGCATGCTTCCATTTTGCCCTCCAGGAAAACAGTTCCCATTGATACTGTGAACAGAGTGACAGTTCCTCCAGCACTGGGCGCCATCATTCTTCTTTTACCCAGTTTGTGTAATGATTGTCTATGGAGGGCCCACCCTGGGTCAGGCACTGTGTCCAGTGTTGAGGATACAAGAACGGCCAAAACAAATACATCCCTTTCCCTCACAGAACTTAGGGCCAGCTGGGAGAGATAGTCGTCTGTTTTAATCTTTGTTAAATTGCTAAACAAAAAAGCAGCATTTATTTTATTTTAATTGGCATTTGATAACTAATTAGGCTAAGCATTTTTCACATGTTAATGGCCTATTTGCATCTCTCTTTTTAACTGTCTATTAAAAGAGTTGCGATAAACCAGTATGCTAGAAGTTTAAATACTTAAAACATCACTTCATGATCACCCAACAATATGGTGTGACAAAACAGTGCCTCTGTGCACTGCATATTGTGTCATCAACATCCAGTGCACTGGAAACCTTGCAGCTTGAGACATTATAAAAGTCTAGGCAGAAAGAAGGTCTAGCTATGAAAGACCTTCTTTGTCCCTATTTTTCTTATAAATTTGAAGAACTCTGAATATTCAAGGTTGACCTTAGCTGGTTAATTATATTTTCCCAGTTTATCATTTGCTTGGTTTTATTTATGGCACTTTTGATTTGTAGAAGTATTAAGTTTTTATGTAGCCAATTATAATTTTTCTTAATAAGTTAAAAAAATTGGTGCCTTCCATTCTCAGCATCATACTTATCTTCGAAACTTCTAAGGCATACTAAACTTTTCCAGGAAAAAAATGAATAAAAACAAATCCTCACTTAAATACAGCCTGGGTACTTCATATTTTGTGATTACTGTTTTGACTGCGGTGATTTTCCATTACATTTTTTTAAACTACCTTTTTTTTTGTTGTTGTTGTTTTTTTTTTTTTTTTAGCAGAGTCTTGCTCTGTAACCCAGACTGGAGTACAATGGCACAATCACAGCTCACTGCAGCCTTGACCTCCTGGGCTTAAGCTATCCTCTCACCTCTGCCTCCCAAGTAGCTGGAACTACAGACTCATGCCACCACACCTGGCTAATTACAATTTTTTTTTTTTGGTAGAGATGGGATTTCATGATATTGTCCAGGCTGGTCTCAAACTCCTGGGCTCAAGTGATCCTCCCACCTTGGCCTCCCAAAGTGCCGGGATTACAGGTTTGAGTCACTGTGCCTGGCCATAAAATTACAAATGTCTGTTTAATGGGGAAAGCTTATGGGATACTAAAAAGCAGCAAAACAAAAATTTCCCAACTCTCACCATCTAGGCATAAGTATTGTGAAGATTTTGCTGGAGGATCTTGAGTCTTTTACAGACACGCCCTCCCTGTTTCCCATCACACACACACACACACACACACTTACCACGTTGATGGTATCCCACTGTATCTACCATGTTATTGCTACAGAACTCTGGGGCAGGGGACATCCAAGGCTGACTCCCCATTTCATTTTGTGAATACCCTCCTTCTTCCCCTGGGGGGAAGAGGGTGAGGTGCTGAGAGAGCGTAGCCAGATTCTGGTGTGTGTGAACATGTGAACTGCTGGGCGGTGGGCAGCTGCTTTATTAATGTTAGGCAGCAGTGGGCTCAGCAGAAGCCATTGTGAGCAATGGTCCCTATCGTCTTCCTGGGAACATTATTCCTCAAGCTGCTGGGTGTCCTGGATTGGCCTTTCATTTGAAGCTTTTATTTATCTATTTTTTTTTTTTTTTGGAAATGGAGTTTCACTCTTGTTGCCCAGGCTGGATCCCAATAGTGTGATCTCGGCTCATGGCAACCTCCGCCTCCTGGTTTCAAGCGATTCTCCTGCTTCACCCTCCCGAGTAGCTGGGATTATAGGCATGCGCCACCTTGTCCGGCTAATTTTGTATTTTTAGTACAGATGGGGTTTCTCCATGTTGGTCAGGCTGGTCTTGAACTCCCAACCTCAGGTGATCTGCCCACTTTGGCCTCCCAAAGTGCTGGGATTGCAGGCGTGAACCACCACACTCAGCCTCATTTGAAACCTTTAAAACCAAATTAGCTTAGAAAAAAAAAAACGTGAGCTCACATGGTTCATTTCAGCTTACCAAAGGACTGAGGCTCTGCTTTTGAATTTGGAGTCCATGCTCAGCTAATATTGAAATGCCTTCCTTCACCTTTGTTTCTTGCTTGTATCTCTTTTTCAGAACATCACAAGGAGTGGTGAGTGTGGTCTAGGGTAGGAGTCCATAATCACTGTATTTTCTTGTGATACCATCACCTGAGTTTTTAAAATCACCTGCTTTTTTTTGCACTGAACAATATAAAATAAACATTTCCCTAAATCAATGAATTGTATTCTACACGAATGATTCTTTTTCTTTTCTTTTTTGAGACAGGTTCTCATTCTGTCACACAGGCTGGAGTGCAGTGGCACAATCATAGCTCTCACTGTAACCTCAAACTCTTGGGCTTAAGTGATCCTCCCACATTAATCTCCTGAGTATCTGGGACTGCAGGCATGCACCACCACACCCAGCTAATTTTTTTTTTTTTTGGTAGAGGCAGAGTCTCACTATGTTGCCCAGGTTTGTACATGAATGATTTGTAATGACTGTATCTTTCCCTCTCTCTCTCTGA